TCTGTCAGCTTAAGATTTACACAAGGCAATTCTTCATTTTTGATAAACTTCTGAAGGCTCCCGCAGAAGCCGCTTAAGGTTCATTAAAATGTAATTAATTAATGATTTGCTGCTGAATAGCTGCTGACTGCGGTTTTCTTTTCACATGTCGGACAGCATGAGTCACAGTTGCCAAGCCGACAAGGAAACTATTTGCAGACTATAGCACCTATTGATGAGTGTTTCAATCTGCAGGCATCTGCATAGGAAAAATGCTGGTAGGGGTGTGGACCGTGTTTTCACGGTGAATATGAGCAACACCTAGATTCAAAAGTGCCTCAGACTGTCATGATAGTCACCTCATCATTATGAGTGCTTTGTTTTTGAATATCTTTACATTTTAACTTGAAATAACAGTGATAAACTCCTGCATACAGAACAGGTAGTTTTATTTCCATGTTTTTTCAAAAACCTAACAGCCTGCATCTAGGGACTGAAGATTTTTTTTTAACGCACGGTGGTGTGTGTGTGCATGTGTATATGCAGGTACGTGTGTTTCCTTTCATGGGATCCTCTTGTTAAGGAAATTTCCCTAACTCCTCAGCAGCTCTGGGAGACTTCCAACATCTCCTCCTCTTAAACCGCACGCTGAAGGTAAAGCGACGAGCAGCATCCTTAGTGTTTGGAATTCCTGACCTCTCAGGCCAGGAGCACAGCCTGTATATTTAACTCTAAGGAATTCACATAAAATACTGACCTGTTTTTATTGTGGATATAGGGCAACTATTCCGAACATATAAAATGCACTGCTTTTAAATATTTACAAGAAAAGGAAATACGGCTTCACCTTTTCTCTCTTTGCCATCTCCATGCGTGTTTTTGTCTACCCAAGTTCTATGAAATTTACTTCTCGGCAACGTTATGCTTTCAGTTAAAACCCCAAACCTAAACAGACTGTTTATATAAGCAGATTCTCTGCTTCCATCTCCATCCACCACATTTTAGAGACATGGAATCTGACAACCAGGAATTTAGTTTACACTGCATCTGAAACGTCGTGCACGGGCACTTTGTACCTTGAATCAGAAAGAGGACAAATTCAACAGTTCTTTTAAAGATGTCCACAAAAGACCACCGATGTAATCTTTAGTTCTAAGAAAACTGTTTTAGATGTTAAACGCGAAGAACTGAATCACAAAAATTAGTGAGTGCTATGAGGCTGTATCAAGTGTAAGAGCACAAGGAAATCTTGATTTCAGATTATGAATACTTCTGAAAAGAATAATTTTGGATTAAGTGGCAGTGATTTACATTTTGCTAAGCGTGCTATGGGAGTGCTTAAAAGGGGGGTGCAGTTTCTAGTTTTGCTCCCTATATTCTTATTGCCTGCTTTGCCTTGTGCAATACATGAACAGAGTAAGTGCTTCCTCATGACACAATGACTCTTATTAGTTTCTGCACAAAGAAACTAAATATTCCATATCATTTGGACATATTGAAAAATGATATATATATACACATACATATATCAAATGCTTGCTATTTTATCAAATACTCTCAATAAGTAGCATTGCCTTACAATTTTTGTCTCACCATATTAATATGATTTTATAATACAGCTTTTAATTGATCATTGTGTCACATTTTCAAGTTAATGCTATTAAACTGTAATATTTAGAAATTATCCAAGAATTAAATTATCAGCTCCTACTAGATTTTCTCCCAACACATTTATAAGAAATCTTTTTGTCTCTTCCCACATCTGCTTGTTACCATTCCTGATGTCACCCATATGCACATAGCTCACTTTATGTTTCCTTTTAAACTACCACCGTGGTGCTAGAGAACTCTCTAAGAACACTATACAATAGTGAGCGAATGGCTATTCGCCACTGACTGAAGATAGCCGAAGGAAACTACATACTCTTTAGTGGTCCAGCCCCATCTAGGCATCTTTAGCCCACTTTGTGTCTGTCTTTTTTATATCCCCTGGTCCTAGGGCAGTGATTCTTCAATGCATAAAAATTACCTGGAGACTCTCTTAAAAGTTCCTTGAGCCCAGCTCCCAGAGATTCTGATTCAGAAGATCCAGGAAGATCCTGTTTGCATTTCTGTCAAGCTTACTTACAGTTGAGGCCAAAAATGCTAGTTGGAGGACCTTGAGCCTAGGGGTAGAAAAGTTTCTCCCAACAGATCGCCAATGAGAAATTCAAGAAAGCATCTGGGACTGAGACACTGGGTTCTCTTAGTGACCTAAAAGGTTTTAGCTACCACCGAAAAATTAAAAGAGGGGGAGTACTGTAAACATCACTTTAATTACTTTTAAATCATGGTTAGCTCTAAACAATTACACCAGGAAGGTCTGAATACCAATCAACGTTGCCACTGAATGCTGTGCAACTTAATTTGAAACAAGGATCTTTAATGAATGTCATAAAAATAAATAAAGGTCACTGTTGTGATAAAGAGACAATGCAAACATATATGGTTTAGATCATCCCTTTTACCCTCACCCTTTCTTCAAGTTCAATCCATTTTTAGTGAAAAGTCACAATTAAAAGATTATAAAAATATACCACAACCAATAAAATGCCGCGATGACATCTACATTAAAGTTATATTAAAGTGCTTTAAAATATCATCATGTCACCTGAGGCTTAGCCAAATTATTCCAAATAATGCAGAAGAAAGGTTTAAGACTTCATCTCAATACACGTCATATTAGGTAAACAAATATTCACTCAGTTCAAGGTAAATGTGTTTCATCTACTCAGTTCTGTAAAGAGTAAGTAATAAAGATACATTATTCATTCAGCAGTTACTATGAGTCTTAGAAAATCATTTCTACCAACTATAAACTAACCTATGTCAAGCGTACAAACTAAGATTTTTGTGTATGCTAGTTAAATGACCTAAAATTGGGGCACCTGGGTGGCTAGGTCGGTTGAGCAGCCAACTTTGGCTCGGGTCATGATCTCATGATTCACAAGTTTGAGGCTCACATCGGCCTCTGTACTGACAGCTCAGAGCAAGGAGCCTGATTAGGATTCTGTGCCTCTCTCTCTTTCTTTCTGACACACTTTCTCTCTCTGACTCTTTCTCTCTCTCTCTCAAAAATAAAAACATTTAAACATTTGAAAAAAAATGACCTAAAATTAAGCCAGGGTATATGGAAACTCTGTAATTTCCTCTTAATTTTGCTGTGAACTTTAAACTGCTCTAAAAAAGTAAAGCATTAGTTAAAAAATTGAGCCTGGATTATTAATAAATCAATACTTTACTATAACACTTAAGTTTTAATTTTAAGTGATATGCGAGTAAATGGCTAAAATGATAAAACTATCTTTCCCAACCATTGAAATTGAAAGATTATCCAATCTCTTTCTAACAGTGACATTTACAATACCATTTTGTGCTGGTTACTTTCCAACCAGAGCCGGGCAGTTTCAATGACCTATTCTCTATGTGGCTTATGAAGTTGGAGAATCCATTCCTGTACCATTTCCTTTATTATTACAAAACAAAATTCCTTTTCTCATAAATAGGGTTGGATAATCAAATAAGGGCCTCCTAAAGGACTAAATTCACACATTTAAGTAGAATTATTCTTAAATATATTGGATGAGTTATTTCTATACAGTCTAAAATCCCAGTTGACCCAATACATATGTCATTCGTACCAATTCTGGGAGGTGGATTCAACACATCCCTGCTGCTCTATATTTTATTTGCTCTTCCTGGTATTGTTCTGGACTTTAAAGAAATTTGAAGGAGGTCAGAAAGAACAGAAATCAACTAAAATGGGCTTTATCATTGAGTATATTGTAGTTTTCTTTAATTTATCATAAA